GGGGGGGGAAAGCAGGGCCACGAGCGCCCCGGGCGTGCTAGGTCCTGACCCTCCACAAAGGATCGAGCAGACCATCTTGCCTTACCTGCTTGGGATCTCCGGACCCGGTCAGCATCTTTCGCTCGTCCTCCAGCCCCATGTCCAGCTACGGTTCTGAATTCAACACGAGCAGCAACAGCGGCACCTACTCCACTTCAGAATCAAGAAGGACTTGCAAGGGTCACTCAGCGGATATCCGGCGACCTGGCCGGAAGTGCGGCAGACTTGTCGCAGTCGCGAACACACACTCGGATTGGCATGTACTACCGTCCAAAGGCAGGGGTTAGGGGTAGCTGGTATTTGCACCAAAGAAAGATTTACTAAGAAATGCCCCCTTAGTCACGCCAGACCCAAATATGTTTATCTAGAGATTTATTTGAAATGTTATCTCCTAAGAGACTTTGTAAGTATGCAGATTTATTCGCTGTTCCTTTAGTGAAGTTCCCATTCTTACCCACAACGCTGATGAAACCTTCCTAACTGCTGACCTTTTCAAGATGGCGGTCCGCGGCTGCCACTCTCGGGCTCGCGCACCTCCCCAAGATGGCGGCGCCCGAGGCCTGGCGCGCCCGGAGTTGCTGGTTCTGTGAGGTAGCGGCGGCAACGACCATGGAGGCCACGTCCCGGGAGGCGGCGCCAGCGAAGAGCTCGGCCTCGGGCCCCAGCGCTCCCCCCGCCCTGTTCGAGCTGTGCGGGCGGGCGGTGAGCGCCCATATGGGGGTTCTGGAGAGCGGGGTGTGGGGTAAGTCGCGGGGTGAGGGGCTACCTCTGGCAACGAGCGGAGGCGGCCCAGCGGCCGGGGGGCGCGGGGGGCGAGGCCGGGAGGCCCCGGGCAAGGCCCAGCCTGGGGCACTGGAAGCCAGACCGTCTGGTCGGAGCATGAATTCCGAGACTGACTAGGCTGGGCAGAATAAAGACGGGGACCGAACCGGCAGGTGGACCCGCACCGCGGCCTGGTTGGGGGGCGCAGGGGGCGAGGCCAGGAGGCCCAGGCTGGGGCGAAGCCGGCAGGGCTCGGGCTTCAAAGGCTGGATTGACGGACCGGGTTGGGGGCACCGAACTGACAGTCGAGCTGAACCGGGCTGGGGAGGCTTGGATGTCGAGCCGACGGGCAGGGATGGCCCTGCTGTTTGGGGGCGGGGGCGGAGGTTGGGAGGCCCGGCCTAAGGCAAGGAGGCCAGGCCCCGGGCCACCCAACCTGATTGATGGCGCGGGGCCTCGGGTATCTGCCTGACACCCATAGGTGCCGAGACTCCGGAGGCCAAGCCGATGGGAGAGGGTAACCCATTGGATTGGGGAGCGAGGGCTGGGTTGGGGGAGAGACCGAAAGGCTTGGGGTGCCGAGGCCTGTCTAACGGCCCGGGGCTGAGGGAAGCGAACTGAAGACTGGGGCCTCGGGTGCCAAGCTGATTGAGCGACGGGCTGACGGGCAAGGCAGGGAGCGCCGGAGGCCGCTCGGATTGGCTTGAGCAGCAAGGAAGGGCCGGAGAGCGGTGAAGGGAGGCCCGGAGCGGGTCAGCGATCCTGGGAGGCTATAATGACGGACAGGCGGGAAGGGCCAAGGAGGCCCCGGGCAGGGCCACGGCCCGGGTATCCCGAACTGGGAGGGGGCGCATCGCCGCTAGGAGGCCCTAATCCGAGTGAGAGTGAGGAGGCCCCGGGCCTGAGAGCGGCGGGGATCCACGGGCCCGGCTTGGGTGGAGGACGCCCAGGCTGAGCAGCGAAGGCGGGCGGCCTGGGGCGCTGGGATGAGGAGCCTGGGAGGACGAAACGAACAGCCTAGCTGGTGGGCCGGGTAACCGAAGAGAGGAGGCCTGGCTGTGGTGTGGGCACCTCTGGTCGTGGGCCGGCCGCTGATGAGTAAAACTCGGGGCGGCATCGTGAGGACTAATAGAGTGAAAGAGAGGAAAGTGAAGGCCTCTGGAGGATAGGCCTACCTACACAGGGGACAAGGGAGGCCTTGGGCCTGACAGACTGCTGGTGTGAAGGGGTGGGGTCCAGAAGTTGGGTGAGGATATCACAGGCCAGGCCCAGGGCCTAGAGAAGGGGGAGGGGTGGTAAGAGAGGAGGCCCTAGGCCTTGAAGGGGGGAGGGAGGAAGGGATAGTGTTCTAGAGCAGACCTCAGGAGTGGTGGTGGTGTCTTTGCCAGGAGGGAGGCCCCGGTAGAATCAGGAGTAATGGCTTGAAGTCCTGAGATGAGGGTTTGGGTTGTACCATGAGGAGGAATGTAAAGAAAAG